ATAACTTTCACAGAAAACGAATGTCACAGCGTAAACTAAACTAAATTTACCCTCGGCACAAGGTTGTGCGTCCCTAGTGCTAGTACGTGGCGAAGGCTGGCAAGTCGCAACTCAACAGTTGACTGCAAATTCTTTCCGTGGGCAGCACACTAGAGGGTTTATTAGCTTATAAATTAAATGATAGAAGTAATATAAGCATTGAACCCGCAGCCACTGATTTCCGGGCGTCAATTACGCAACGATAAATTAATCTAAGATAATCAGAAAGCTTGCTACATGTTCCAAATTTTAATAATAAAGCTATATCAATAACTATGATCGGTGATGTAGGTTCGCAGTACATTATTATATACAATTTTTTTGTATGTGTCACAGTTGTATCTGTATCGAAAGTTGTATCAGTATCTGTTGTATCTGTATAACAGTTGTATCTGTATCGGAATAGCTAGAATAGTTTAGTTGATGCTGAATTTTGTTATATCGACTGCATGTTCAGTATATTGTTATATCAATCATTACCGTCATCACTAGAAAATGATATTATGTATATTATTTTTTGTTGAGGCGCCTTAATGGGGTAAAAAAAAACTGTATAGGTGTGCAGTGTGCAAATGGCGACTGGCCACTAAGAGATGGATAGCATTAACTGATTATTATAAGAATTGATTTACTTAAATTAAATGAATATATACACATACGAACCTTTAAAGTATTTTTAAGAAAAAACTCATATTAAACTGGTCACATTTTTCGATAATTGCGACTATATAGGATCGTTATTGGAACTCTGGAGCGTTATTGCATCAATTGCTGGCAACATGAGATCTTCGTACTATAACTCCTTTTATTTTTATTTATCCTGAATCGTTGCACGATAATTTCCTTACTTGCGTTGGATTGAATTCTGAAAAGAATTTAGTATGAGCAAATTAATCTAAGATAATCAGAAAGCTTGCTAAATGTTCCAAATTTTAATAATGAAGCTATATAATAACTATGATCGGTGATGTAGGTTCGCAGTACATTAATATATAAAATTTTTTTGTATGTGTCACAGTTGTGTCTGAATCGAAATAGCTAGAATAGTTTAGTTAATGCTGAATTTTGCTAAATTGACTGCATGTTCAGTATATTGTTATATCACTCACTACCATCAGCATCAGGTATGGAAATTCAATTGTAATATAATATAAGCACTGTCTTGTGGCGCCGTAATGGGCTGAGGAAACTATATTTGTAAGCAGTGTCTAAATGGCGACTGGAAACAGGGGCATGGATAGCATCAACTGATTATTATTTGTAATAATCAGTTGCTTTACTTATAATAACTGAATATATACACATACGAGCTTTTAACGTATTTTTAAGAAAAAACTCATATTAAAGAAAATTAGCTGAGTAATGCGTTTAGCGCTTGTAAGTTTCATTATTTAGTGTTAAATTCAGCAGTAGTGCCTCAGAATATGAGGATATGTTGTTATAAATAGACTAACTATTGAATTTATAATGAATTAATTCCATTGTGACTCTACTTGGGTGAACATTTCTTAGAAAATGAGCTAAAAAGAGAAGGAATGAAGTGATGCTACTAACCCCTGAGCTGCATGTTGGGCAGGATGACCTTCTCGCATATGCCGGACAGGACGGCCTCGTTCTCAAAGAAGCCTTTGTTGTGGTCGCGCTCCGCCACGCTGCTAAGGAAGTGGATGGCGTGGCTTACCATCTGCAAGCCACCATAACTTAATACGTTGCTAATGATATTGGATTGATTATATGTTAGATAGGAGTATATGTCATTATATTGGTAGGAAATACTGTATGTTTTCACATTATGGCATTTGTAGGTAGTGCAGTAGCCTCCTATGTTGCTACATCGTACGCAGGTAGTCACATTGGTTGTCTACACAATGACTAGATGACAACAAATGCTATCTTTGAACCAACATTATTAAAAACAAATACCTACCCTGAACCAACACTTTCTCTGAACCAAAAACCTCACTCACTGATCATCGAAGACTATCTCTCAAGTGATATGACTGGTTATTTTGTTGAAAACTAGGAAATATTGAGGATTTTCTCATCAATAGTCAGCATGTCAAGGAACTAATTATGTCAAGGGTCTCAGTAACCAACGATTTTCATCCTTAAACTAACAATATTCTAAGATCCATGAACATCACTTATCTTAACATATAATTTAGCAGCTGGATCTCTAATCAAATCACGCAATCTCTGATCTAACAACGAAATCTCTGATACTATAATAACCATCACTATATTTCTCACACAGCAATCAACATAGGGGAAAAAATTTCACTCTGCTTCACACTTCTGTATACAAGAACACTAAAGCCAACGTAACGCCATAATCCCCGACCCACACCAGGTTCCGCACAGCATGTGTGGCACCTCATTGCCCACAAGCCCCGACCTAAGCGGTTCCCCGCATAAGGTGCCGCACCTGATCGCACTTGAGGGCGAGGGAGGTGGAGGACAGCAGCTCCCACACGACCGTCACGAAGCGCTCGAGGTAAGGCTCGAACTCCTCCCTGTACTTGCTGGCGTACAGCCCGATGTTCTCGCACACCTGGCTCTTGACCTGCCGTTACATGTACAGCGTTATGGTATGGAGACGAAAAGGAATTTCAGGTTCAAATATTCAAAAAATATATTCAAATATTGCGGTGGAAAGAAACCTAAAACTTGAAAACATAACAACAAAACTGTGAAGAATGAAGCATTCTACAAGTGAATTTATTGCAATGTAATAAATTTATGTAATAACCTCAAATATGTTAGCGGAACTGATATTACTATAGCCTATCCTTGAATTCTGTCAACATAAAAAACGAGACAATAAACTTTCGATTGCAAGGGAGACTACTTTCTTGTGGGGGCTGCAGGCGTTGCTCAGTCAGGACTCAGGACTCTGGAGGCTGCGGCTGAGCCAGTGCTTCCCATTTGTAATTGTACAAATAGGCGAGACACTCTGGAAAATTCCTGTAAATGTCCATAAAAATACAGCAGTTTGAGACGTTCAAGCGTGCTTTAGTTATATTAACTGAATAACTTCAAGCATTTTTCGAAGAAAAACTCATTTCATTCAAGAGGGTAATTTTTTAAATGCGCCAATTGGATCGTTATTGGAACGCTAGAACGTTATTGGATCAATTGCTCGAAACATCCGATCTTCAAACTATAACTCCCTTTATTTTACTTTTATCTGAATTGTGGCTCGGCAATTTCCTTTCATGTGTTGGATCGAAAGTTTGAAAAAAAATCTTGTAGGGAAAATAGCTCTAAAATAATTTGGAAGTTTGCTACATGTTCCAAATGTAAATAATAAAGCTATGCCAATAAACTATTGTTGCTGATGTAGATTCGCTGTACATGCATTAATCTGAATATTTTGTGTCATATAGTCATAGATCTTCATCAGTGTAACAGGAATAGTTTAGTTTGTGCAAAATGTCATCGAACTGACTGCCTGTTCAGTCAAGCGTTATATGTAAACGCTCGAATTCTGGTTATTACTGAAACTGTATTTTCAACATTTATTAACTTTTTGTAGCCTTACGGGCTAATAAGCAATTGACAATAGAAGTGTTTTAAGGTGTGGGTGGCAGGATTAGCAATCCCTGTGAACAGCATTACCTGATGAATTTTTCTAAGGTTTTGGAAAAAAGCAATGTGTAAAATATTTCCCAGACTCTTGAAATGGTTCATAGCCAGTTAGCCATTATCGAAAATGCAACGAATTAGAATCGTCTATATCTCGAAAGTCTTAGCCGTATTTCCCCCAAAAATATTCAATTAAGCATGAGTTGCTTTCAGCTGGGCACTACGAGGTTCGGGGTGAATGCGTGCGCTGTAGTGCGGTGATCATCTTCGGCTGATCAGGCGCGTTTCATGCGCATGTCTTCCTCGAGATGGACGTTGATTGTCTGTCTAGTTCTAATTGTTGTCTTGTAATTCACATTAAATATTAGCGCTGGCAATTTTCAGTTAGTTTGTATAAGAATTGATAAATTTCACATGCACCTAAGGAGCGAATCAGCGCCTTGGTGTAGGCTTTCCGCCTCCACAGCGAAGGTGGTATAGGTTCAGCCCTGCGATGAGCCCCAAACTCCCGCCTGGCGATGAACTCGAAGGCGACGATGAAACTCTTCAATCTATTGAACTATTCTAACAGCAAATATACGTGATTCTAATGCATTCAGGCTCGCTACGAATGAACGATGGAAACCTTAATAAATATTGATGTTCTTAAGGATGAAAATAAACCAATAAGAAATGAATGATCAAATCATCATCATAGTTGCAGGCTCGTATTTCTCAATGAAGTTGACCAATAAATTGTGCTGCAGTTACTGCGCAACTCGAGGCTCCGGGTGCGGTGAACGCAGTCAGCAGATAAAGAGCGTTCCATCTTCCTCGGGTTGGACATTATTAACTGTCTAAATATCTTAAGCCTTAGCGATGCTATACTTCAGTTAGTTTGGATATGAACAAAATTTCACATGCACCCTAGGATCAAATCAGCTCATCGGTGAAGGCTTTACGCTACCATGAGTCCCTAACTGCCGCCGGGGCGAACTCGATGCGACGACGAAGCGTCGTGAGCGTTTGAAGTCCTGCGGCAAATTACGGAACTGGAATATTGGTTATGATGTATAACAGAACATTAAATGCTGCATTGGCCAATTGAATTTTTCATGCATCACACCTTTGAGTTGAAGTGATTATCAATACAATCAGGGAAATAAATGTAACCAAAGATATATATTAACGATTAAATGAAGCATTCGTGGTACGCGTTGCTAACTGGCGAAACGCAGCGCCTGTCCGACCTCCAAGTTGTACTCGATCTTAGCAAGTTTTGGAGCCATCGGCCCACTGCGGTGAGGCAACTGCAGGGAAAATCTAGGACCGTTCTTAATAATTGACACGAAAATATAAACGGAAAAATATTCGTGGTCTAAAAGAATTTCATAAGACTTTTCAAAAATTGGTACGGTTCATACTAGCAGAACAATTTTGAATGAGAAGTAAAGTTCATTTCACCAGTTCAATTGCATGTAACAACACTGTTGTAAATCTTGCACACGTAGTAAGAAGTTTGAAGCTCCTCTCTACATGTGATACAGATTCTAGTACGTTAACTACAATGATTTATACTATCTTCTGTACAATAATTCAACCTTACCCTGTCGAGCTATCGTCATTCAGGGGAGCTTCTACCGTGAAAATTATCTTCTGAAATAAATGACCGATCGTCTTGAAACTTCGTTAATTTTTCGAAAAAATAAAAATAAAACGCGAAATTAATTGAAAACGTCAAAAAAGGTGTCTTTTATAAATCTATCTCCTCCTTTAATTTTCGTGTTACAACGTCGAGAGAGATATCATTAATAGTCACACAGCACAACTCACGACGATCTCAACGATGAGCGCCGCAGCCGCACGCAGAATTGGTGTGCGTGAGGACGACACCGCACATTCAGAAAAATGAGTGCGTCAAATTGTGTCAATAGTTACGCATTTTCTTACCCACACAACGATTATTGAGTCGACGTAGCACTGATACGCCAGTTTACCGGGGCAAATAGGGAACGGATGACCCACACCAGGGCCAAAAGTGCATCTCTATTTTATATCAACGTGACAAGTGATGTTGTCATATCAACGTGACAAGTGATGTTGTCATATCAACGTGACAAGTGATGTTGTCATATCAACGTGACAAGTAATGTGGTCATATCAACTTTACAAGTGATGTTGTCATATCAACGTGACAAGTAAAGTGGTCATATCAACTTGACAAGTGATCTTGTCATATCAACGTGACAAGTGATGTCATATCAACGTGTCATATCAAGTGACAAGTGATGACTATGAATTGAATAATTCGGTATCAAATTACCATGAACTTTACCAAGTTAAGTTCGCCCTGGTGGTTGGCTGGGTAACGTTTTCTACGAAGTTGGATATAGAAAACTTTATCTTCATTAGGGAGCTTCATGTATATATTCTCTGAATTTCAATCACACTATATATGAATGACTAATAATAACACAGGTAAACACTATGCTCTGTGAACACAGTTTGCTGTTTTTTCCGATTATTAACCAGCCACTGATGATTAAGTTGGGAAAAAAGTGAAATAAATTAAAAATTAAAATGTGCAGCATGCGGCTCGTCAGTACATGGAGATCATGATTAATAAATATTATCATAATATGGTCGTCATAACTCATAAATATTAATATTCACAACATGGCGGCCATAATTCATAAATAATAATAATCATAATATGGTCGCCCTAATTCATAAAAATTATTCGCTAGTGACTGGGGAGAGACGAGTGAGTTTGCATTGGATTGACCTCGTATTTGCTAGTTATAGTCTAACTCTAATAGCGGCGATGCGTCGGCTACTACAGATTTACCAGGTATGATGAGAAGTTAAGTCATGTCTCACAACTCGGGGAATAACCTACTCACTTACTTTTAAGGCTCTTCGCTGACTGCGCATAAAATTAAAGTTGCTATATCTTTGCCTGAAAATTTGAACTCTATCATTTAGCTGATATTATTTTCCCTATCTATATATTTTAGTTTCCTAAATATTAAGGCTACTGCGCAAGGCAACGTACATATTAAAGTACTAATTTGCTGTGCAATATTGTGCTGTGCAAGAAAATCATGTAATGCATGAATAAAGTAGATTTTCGAGAACCATGCTTGAAAAAACGTGTTTTGAAACGCTAAGAATATGCTTGATTTGACTCATCCTCATAGATGAAGTCTGGAATGGGATATGTATATTTCATATTATTTGACTATAACTGATATAGGAAATGCATGCGTACTGATTCTTTCACCTGGTTTTACCAACCAGCCAATGGCAGAAATATTCATGCATTCAATAAAATTTCTATTTTAAAGACTGGATAAATCCCCGTGATTAAAGAAAATATTTCCCAAAAATTCGTATNTATGACAACATCACTTGTCACGTTGATATGACAACATCACTTGTCACGTTGATCTCGTTGACACAACCGCGTTTCCTCTCACTGCAAACCCTGCAACTTCCAAATATTTTTAGATAAATTCCGCTGAACCAATAGAAATATATCCAATCTGTCACGTATGACATGTATTTAATAGAATAATTGTCGTTAAAATTTCTGTAATTTTGAGAAGATTTCCATGCTCTATTCAATAGTAAAATCTGCTGTTGGGGTATCTGTTGTAGCATACTAGTTGTTTAAAGAGTTACCCCTGCATTGTCATAAAATGATTGGCATCATATGCACAAGATTTTTTGTTCATTTTTTTCAAATTATATAATTTTTTGATGAATCAATTCTATTTGATTCCCAAAGTTTAGAATAAATTGAGGTTTTGTTATGATCCTATGTCAAACAATGATTTACACTCATAATTTAGGTAAAACGTGTGGTAATATTTTCATGGACAACAATCGGTCCAAGATAGTGTAGCCTAATTAGCTAAAATTCCAGTTAATAAAATTTTTCACTGCCCCGCATTGGGGACGATAAAGCGAGCATTAGAAATCTACTGAAACGCGATGAAGACATACTTAATTTCATAGCAAACGTCCAACATGGCCTCGTGTAATATAACACGGAATTGGTGCGGCTAAATACCTGCTGTGTTTGAGCAGCTGAAGTTTGATTCTGCACTCAGATAAATGAGCGGGTCATTGTCCTAAATAGAGATGCACTTTTGGCCCTGGTGTGGGTCATCCGTTCCCTATTTGCCCCGGTAAACTGGCGTATCAGTGCTACGTCGACTCAATAATCGTTGTGTGGGTAAGAAAGTGCGTAACTATTGACACAATTTGACGCACTCATTTTTCTGAATGTGCTGTGTCGTCCTCACGCACACCAATTCTGCGCGCGGCTGCGGCGCTCAGCGTTGAGATCGTCGTGAGTTGTGCCTGTCTCTTATACACATCTAGATGTGTATAAGAGACAGGTATAAATCCCCGTGATTAAAGAAAATATTTCCCAAAAATTCGTATGAAATTTCGGAATTTAAGTATTCGACGGGCCACTTCAAGACGCGCGCAGTGGGGAAGCTGGTGAGAACGCTAGCGTCAACTCTTCTATTCCATGTCAATGGCAGTGAATTTTGTATTCTTCAATACGTCCTTTGGAAATATATTATTTTTGACTTGCTGTAATTAACAAAAATGTGATGCTGTCACTCTAAAGATTTTGTTTCGAACTGTCGCATGAAATTGCAATGAATTTGGCTAAATTAGTTGATTTTGAAATCGTTAAGAATTTGAATTCGTTGAAATTAAGCGCCTGAATTCGTTAACACGATTTCAAGCGCTTACCCAGTGCAGGGTGCAATCTCTTCTATATCAGATCGTCGCTAGGACGCTCTTACAATTTTTTTTTAATTACATCACCCTGATAATTGTATGGTTACCCGACATTTTAATACAGTATGTTATTTGTGAAAATAAAATTTTCAGAGTTGATCGATCTAAATATGTATATTTCCTGAATTTTTCAATATATTGCGTTTGTGAAGAGTGTTCTCACATGAATTCGATTCAAAATTGTAGTAATTCTTTTATTATAGTTTTGGTAGGATAATGAATAAAATTGTAAACCTATGGATAACTGAACAAAAATACCATCACTCAGACATGATTGCATGCATGCTCAAAGCTCCAGTGGACGCATGCTCAAAGCATCAGATAGAGTCAATTATCACAGTATCAACGATTTTATCGTAGCAATTTCGTTACTAGTCTAACTAATCAATATTTTGCGAAATTTTACCGAGAGTACCTAATTTCATAATTTTCAGTTCAAGTTCAAGTTTAGACTACCGAGAGTTCACAGAGCATCCTGTTTACCTGTGTTATTATTAGTCATTCATATATAGTGTGATTGATATACAGAGAATATATACATGAGGCTCCCTCATAAAGATGAAGTTTTCTATATCCAACTTCGCAGAAAACGTTACCCAGCCAGGCTTCAGGGCGTACTAAACTTGGTAAAGTTCATGGTAATTTGATACCGAATTATTCAATTCATAGTCATCACTTGTCACTTGATGTGACACGTTGATATGACAACATCACTTGTCACATTGATACGACATCACTTGTCACGTTGATATGAAAACATTACTTGTTACGTTGATAAGACAACATCACTTCTCACGTTGATATGAGTAATATGACAACATCACTTGTCAAGTTGATATGACCACATTATTTGTCACGTTGATATGGCAACATCACTTGTCACGCTAATGTGACAACATCACTTGTCACGTAGTGACGTTGATATGACAACATCACTTGTCACGTTGATAGGACAACATCACTTGTCACGTTGATTTGACAACGTCACTTGTCACGTTGATATGTAAAAAATCAGTATATATAAATGATGAATGTTGGATAATTTTAATTTATGTCAGGGAACAGTACGCGTGGGCAAGTATGTTAAGTTTAATGCTATAATATAAAATGAATCAATAAATAATAAAGTAAATTTAGACGCTTAAAACCTTAATCTATAATTAACCTACATGAATATGAGGATGATATCCATGTGGATATGAAGATAATATCTATCTTAATATGAAGATAATATCCGTGTGAATATGTGGATGATATCCATGTAAATATTATCGACTGTTGATTAATATTCATGAATATAAAATACTGACTTTAGAAAATTTCTTTCATTGACATAACAGCTGCGCTGAACTCTTGGCCGTGATTAGCAATACTTTGGTGAGAGTCTAATTTTGCGCGAGAAAGCGAGTACTTTGTAAATTGTACGCCACTGAAATACAATCTTTAAGGAAATTTAATATGTGATAAATTTGAACAGCGTATTCTGAAGTACGTCTGCTGATGGAAACTCGATAACAAAGACACAACAGACCACGTGGCTTCTGTATAAGCAAGATGAGACCGAAACAGGCCGTTAAAAAACTCCGTTTATTGAGTGCTTCACTAACTCATATACCCAATTACCATTTCGGCAATTTCAGGGATAATTAATATTATACTTGCACTAAATTGCGTCATAAACAGAACAATATATTATGCAGTTGCATCATATCCATAGCTACTGAATAGTGCGTTTGAATTCGACGTAAAATGAAATTATTGAATCAATAACTGAACTATTATTACAAAATGTCCATCATGTAATTCTTCATATCAATTACCTTACCCGTTTACGCATGTTTGTTTATTAGAAATTCATTGTACATCTGTAACATTGGGAACACTGGATTATTTAGAAGTGTTGTCTTTAAAAAGTAATTTTTAAACGTATATTATTAATTACTGTGCATGGTGGCTTTTTAATCAATATCACTTTGGTTAGAGGTGATTCAACGAAAATCACGGCAAACTTGAACTAATTCGAAATCGTTATTAAATGAAATGAGCTTATTCTGTTCGCCCGTAAAATTTTTATTTTCTTTTGAAAAAATATTTTCAAAATTCAATTTTCAAATTTTAAATTGTAAAGAGTTTTTTTTAATATTTAAAATTTAAATTAAAAATTCAAAATTGCCGGGAAAGCGGAGCGGCATCAAGTGGTATTTGCTTGTACATTCATAAAGTTCAAAAAATTTGCGCGAGATGAATGCCCCGCGTAGCAGCGTGTGACAGGCTACGTTGCAAGGTGTCTTCCTCGACTGAGATGCGTTTGTTGATCGTGTCGTACACTCATGGAAATGAGTGAGACTTGTCCAAATATCGGTGCACTTTTCAATATCATGTGCATCATCATAACCACAATATACCCGGCAAAATATCTGTGCTACATGCAGATATAGTGTCACTATTCAAATAATTTGATTTTTTGCGCAAAGCGAAAAATTTAATCCTTAGTCTTTCCGGAACTAAAACGCTTCAAGACACTCGGCTGAGGGTCAGAGAAAAGAAGAATAAACTATTTTGGTGCTAAGTTTGTCAACGGACGGTCAACTGTTAAAAGTTTGTATTGAGCAAGTCGTGTTCAAAAAATGCTTGATCTGCTAAACCTTAAATTTTTATGCCTCAATATTGTTGTTTGTGAACAAGATTGAGCAGCCAAGTGGGAATAAGAAAAGCTTTTGCTATTAAACTAAAATAGATAGATGTATTAATTTCATTGCTATATAGACTGTGTATATAACGGGCGTAAACAATCGAATATGAAGCACTCACCAAGCCATTCCCTTGACAGGAGACTGCAGATGTGGCGCCCCCTTGTGGCGGATGGCGTACTCGGTCCAGTAAACCACAACATCTCGGGGAGACATCGGCTGGTCCCGCATCAGTTGCGAGCGATGATTGACAGTCTTCTGATATCTTAGGGAAGCATTCAGCTTTACTTTGTTGACAAGCATTCAGTGTTGAAGTTACTATGTCGTGTAATTAAGTACATTACACGAACACAATTTGTATTTTAAGTCGAAAAATCAGCCATCGATCACGCAACAAGTTTTGGAGCCATCGGCCCACTGCGGTGAGTGAACTGCATGAAAAATCTAGGTCCGTTCTTAATACTTGACACAAAAAATGAATGGTGATTTATTTGTTGGTCAAAATAATTTCATGAAACTTTTGAAAAATAAGTTGAACTTATACAAGCTGGACAACTTTGATTGAAGAGTAAGGTTCATTTCACCAGTTCAACTGCATGTAACAACACTGTTGCAAGTCTTGCACACGTATCAAGATGTTTGAAGCTCCTCTCTACATGTGATACAGCTTCTAGTACGTTCACTACAATGAATTATTCGCTGCATGAGCTGTACCGTTTATGAACTCAAACGAATTATCCTACTTTTATAATATAATTCAACCTTACCCTGTCGAGCAATCGTCATTCAGGGGAGCGTCTACCGTAAAAATTATCTTCTGAAATAAATGACCGATCGTCCTGAAACTTAGTTAATTTTCGAAGAAAATTAAAAGAAATCGGAAAATGAATTGAAAACATCAAAAAGTTTTTTTATAAATCTATCTCCTCCTTTAATTTTCGTGTTACCACATCGAGAGACATATCATTAGATTTGCAAAAATAATATATTGACTCCGAAATCCCTTTTTCAATTTTTTATTTCAATTTTTTTACTATACTATTTTCCTGTACTATTTACTATTTTCCTAGTTTATTGTTCCCCTCGCCCCTAGTTTTTCAATATATAATTCAATATATAATTCAAATCATATACAAATCAGGAAAACAGGGCTTCTAGAGTCGCTGGATCATTTCTAAACAAATAAAATGATATGTACTCATTGCGGTAGCATGAAAAATCATAGGAGGAAATAGATTTTCAAGATGGCGTATTGTGAAAATTTAAATTTTTCAGTGGGGCCAAATAAGAAAAATAGATTGAAAAAAAGAAGAAAACGCCCAAAAAAAATTCTTGATACTGTAGCCCAGGCTTTTCCATTGCCAATTACTCGTATTGAAGATACCACCGCAATTCTTTAGACTTATTCATGCTCAGTTTGACGCGAATAATAAGCTGTAAATATTATTTTTCTAATATTTTTATTTATGTAAATTGATCGTTGCATAAAAATTCAAGACGGCCTAACACAAAAAGTATTGATATACATCCTTGGTATTAGCTTTAATGAACTCGTCTTGTTTGTAGCTAATGAACGAGAGCAAACAATTTGCAATTAACGCGAATAATGGTTTATCAATGACGCGTTTTACACATAAACGCGGCTTGTATGGCAGCTTTCAAACGAGTATAAACACTTTGCAATTAACGCTTATAATGATCTGTAATTACAGATTTAATTAATGATATATTTTAAACTAGTAGTTATACAATATTTAATTAGTCGAGACGGCCTCACAAAAGAGCCCTAAGGCTACCTTGTCGCTTAAACTTGCTACGTTTCGTCATAAACCTCCCTAAAAAATGTCATAGGAATACTTAACATTTTTATTTTTTAACGCAGCGGCAGTAGTCACTATTTTTTATATAAAATTTAAGTGAATAAATCAGAAATCTAGATATTATATTGGCGTACTCAATTATTTTACGCTTGCTGTGTATTTGTCAACCATACGATTTTAACCTGCAAAAAATTATTATAATAACCGAATCCGTTCTCAAACATCAATATGGATTTTCAAAATGAGAGCAACATGATCGGTTTCAAGTTAAGATGATGTAATTTACATTTTTTCATGTTATTTTCTGACAACATACACTGAGTTTTACAGCAATGCAAACAAAATAAAATATTAAAGGACATATGCGAGAATCTCGTATCGGAATCCTATTAAATCTTTTCCACAAGAAATAAACCTAGAAAATAAAACACAACAACAAGCTGTAAAGAATGAAGCATTCTGCTAGTGAATTTATTGCAAAATGTATTGGCCTGAAAATTGTTAGCGGAACTGATTTTCCTATAGCCTATCCTCGAAATCTGTGAAAACATAAAAAGCGAGGCAAGAAAATCATGATTGCAGGGGAGACTACTTTCTTGTGTGGGCTGCACGCGTGGCTCAGGACTCTGGACGGTCTGGAGGCTGTGGCTGAGCCAACGCTTCCCATTTGTGATTGTACAAATAGGCTAGACACTCTGGAAAATTTCTGTAAATGTTCACCAAGTTTAAGACGCTCAAGAGTGCTTTACTTATAACAACTGAATATACACACATACGAACCTTTAACGTATTTTTAGGAAAAAAAAAACTCATATTAAACAGGTCAAATTTTTCGATAATTGCGACTATAGGATCGTTATTGGAACACTGATACGTTATAGGATCAATTGCTGGCAACATTAGATCTACGTACAATAACTACTTTTATTTTTATTTAATCTGAATAGTGGCACGGCAATTTCCTTATTTGTGTTGGATCGAATTCTGAAAAGAATTTAGTATGAGAAAATTAATCTAAGATAATCTGAAAGCTTGCTACATGTTCCAAATTTTAATAATAAAGCTATATCAATAAATATGATTGGTGATGTAGGTTGGCAGTACATTAATATATACAATTTTTTTGTACGTGTTGCAGTTATTGTATTTGTATCGAAGTAGCTAGAATAGTTTAGTTTGTGCTGAATTTTGTTTTATTAACTGCATTTTCAGTATATTGTTATATCAATCACTACTATCACACTTTCATATTATTTGTATTAATTTTTTTGAAAAGCTGATATTTTGGCGCCCTAATGGGTAAATGAGAAATTGTATTTGTATTCATTATCTAATTGGTTACTGGGGCCTGGACAGCATTACCTGATGATTATGTGAAAGCTTTTGTAAAGAAACATCGCGAAAAATGTTTCACAAACTCAAAAAATGGCTCCTAGCCATTATAATAAAATGGGAAGAACGATAGAAGTCTATATCTCGAAAGTCTTAGCCGCATTTCCTCCAAAAATGTTCAATTGAGCAGGAGTTGCTCTCAGCTGGGCACTACGAGGTTCGGGGTGAATGCATGCGCTGTAGTACGGTGATCATCTTCGGCTGATCAGGCGCGTTTCATGCGCATGTCTTCCTCGAGATGGGCGTTGATTGTCTGTCTAGTTCTAATTGTTTTTTTATAATTCACATTAAACTTTAGCGATGGCAATTTTCAGTTAGTTTGTATAAGAATTGATAAAATTTCACATGCACCTAAGGAGCGAATCAGCGCCTTGGTGTAGGCTTTCCGCCACCACATGTATGACAATGCCTCTAATATATTTTCTACATAGAGACCATCTTTAGTAACCGCTGTTGATTGAATTAGGCCGAAGAGTAACAAACTTGAATAGACCGGAAAAAATGTATTATCTATATATTTGCAATAGTGTTCGACTTTTGATCGTCTGAATAAGGATGCTCATAGAAAATACGCGTCTATGTAACGTAGACTGTAATGTTGGCATACATGTAAAATATTAAACTGTTTGTCGTATGATCTGTATATATAATAATTTTAAATAATAGGTTTATAGTCAGATACGTTGCGTAAATGTAATGTCATATCATGTTCTGTGTTGATTGTTAAGTGTCGTATCCGACACTTGGAGGGGAGCAATTTTGGAAAAAGCATTTTCCACCTGCTTCATTAAGCTTAAATATCTGGACTTGTTTTGTGTTGTAAAATTATAAAACGGAAACTGTTGGTTGTTGGGAGAATAGCCGGAGAGTCAGTTGGAAGGAACACGTGGTGCCGAATACAGAGATTACTATAGCATCCTGATACGCTAGCCTTT